TGTATCCCAGAGGTTTTGATAAGTTGTGTCACTATTATCATTCAGTTCAAAGAATTCTTAAATTTCCATCTTGATTTCTTTATTAACCCAAAGATAATTCAAGAGCAGATTATTTAATTTCTGTTTATTTGTATAGTTTTGAGAGTTCCTTTTGGAGTTATTTTCCAGTTTTATTCCACTCTGGTCTGAGAAGATACTTGATATTATTTTAATTTTTAAAAATTTATTGTGACTTGTTTTGTGGCTGAAGGGCACATATCTTTGGATCTCCATTGCATTGGCTATCAGGCCTCCATAGGGAGGCAATCCCTAGTGAGCCTGGGTTGTCCTATTGGTGCTGTTGAACCAGTCACTCCAGTTCTGTCAGGAAAAAGGCAGAACATCCCAAGGCATACATACCATTACCACTTAACAGAGGGAGGTATCCACATACCCCACAATAGGATTGGTTGCTGACCGTTGCTGTAGCCACAGCCTAGTTCAGGAAGACATTACCAGCTGCCATGGATAGCAAAAACAAGGCAAACACAGGTGTTCAGTAGAGACCTTCAAGGTGTATTCACTCCTTGTAACATTATTACTGCTGTATTTTCTCCCATTGGCTCTATCAGGGAAGCTGCCAAAGGCTTCAGTTCTGGCTTACAGTACCACATATGGCTTCCCTCCCTAGGAGTGGGCATAGTAGCCAACTGGTAAGCTTCCAGCCTTGCCTATGCTATCTGCACTACGACCATTCCAGAAGGTATCAGTGCTGCTGCATGTTGATATCAGAAGCCTCTGGGATTAGCAGGGGTTACCTATCCTCTGGCAGTCTTCATTCTCCCTCTAGCATCATAAAACCAGTCCAGTATAGGGGCACTGTTCCAGCTCAACTTCAGGTCTGCATAGCCATCATCACTTGGCAGATCTGCTAGTGTTCTTAAGAGAACAGTATGGCTTCTGCTTCAGAAGCATGGCTCAGTGTCTCAGAGATAAGCCTCTGAGATCAGCTGGGATAATCTATCCTCTGGCAGTCTTCATTCTCCCTCTAGCATCATAAAACCAGTCCAGTATAGGGGCACTTTCCAGCTCAACTTCAGGTCCACATAGCCATCATCACTTGGCAGATCCACGGGTGTTCTTAGGAGAACAGTATGGCTTCTGCTTCAGAAGCAAGGCTCAGTGTCTCAGAGGTAAGCCTGAAAGTTTGCAGGGCCTATTTCACAGGCCTAGCCAACCATTCATAGGAAGTGATGCCATATGTAGTAGTGGGTAACTCATTTAAAATTTATATGGCTTCAGGGAGATTCTTAGTCCAGGAACTTAGCCATTCTGGGACAGTACATGTAATTGGTTTTTTACAGGCCATTCTTGTTTTTCTAGGAGTCCTGCCCCTGTTGGGTTATATGGTAGTGGAACCTTCAGTCTGATGTTCACAGTCAGAACAAAAACCTTCAGGTGTTTTGTTCTGATGCCCAGTGTTGGGTATCGTGGTCCATGAAGGGGAGCCCTGATCATTGTGTATTCTTAGCATGCCATATATAACACTAACAGCAGTGAGATACTTGATGGTCTCCAGCTGCGTGGCATGTTTTATTGGGAAGGCCTGTAATAGCCCCATTATTGTGTCTACACAGGTTAAGGTATGCCTTTCCCTACCATTCCAGGACAGAGGACCAATACAATTGACTTACCAGTCCTGTGGAGGTTGTATGGCTTTATGCATGTGACTTGGTACACAGAAAATCCTTCTAGGTCTCAGCTGTGAGTAGGTCTCACAGTTATGAACAGCTGCTAGAATAACTGCACAGAGGATGCTGATGCCTGCTGCCTTTGCTGTGGCCCATCCTGTGGCTGCTCTTATGATGTACCTGTATGGTGATTTGGTGTCAGTATCCATCTGTACCATGAACACTGACCATTGGTATTGGGAGCCTTTGCTAGACCCATCAATGTGCCAGGCCCCTGTGGGTATTGGCGGGGTCCCCTTATATATGATGGTTGGCCTAGTAGGTGGTTGCATTGCCATCTTGGCTCCCTCCACTTTGTTCAAAGTGAATGGGTCCAAGAGCCTCCTGTAGTAGCTGACTTAAAGTACTAGTAGACAGGACACCCCTTTGTTGTAGACAGCACACCATTTCTGCAGGGTGTGTAGTTGTGCCACCCCAGGAGTGGGCTTGGTTAGAAAGCCTTCCATCCACCTTTCATGAAGTAGACCATTTTTATTGTGTGGTCTGCCTTCTGGTGGTGATGGCCTCTGCTTGTTGCAATGTCCTACACACAGCTAATAGCTGTTGCTCTAGGACTATATAGTGGGATTCTGCCCCCTTTCATAATTGAGACCAAAACCCTACAGTTACCATTCCCATTGGCTGCCTTTGCCACAAACCCCAAGTCATCCCTGTGGCACCTCTACTGACTTCCAATACTAAAGGACACTGTGGCAGTGGGACCCCTAGTGCTTGGGCGTGTTTCACCAATATTTGTGCTTTGTCAAAGCCTCTTGCTCTATGTGTGTCCAGTCCCATTTTTTATCCTTCTTTATTGGGGTATTCAATGGGCTGAGGGCTTGAGCCAAATGAGGAATGAATATCCTCCAATAGCCCAGTTAACCTAGAAAAAACTACAGTTACTTTACTGTCTGGGGAACAAACTTCTGTACCACCTTATCTATGACAGCTCCAGGTATGTTTCATGTCTCAGTTGACCAGGTAACTCCTAGGAATTTGATGGCTATCCTGGGCCACTGTATTTTTTGGGGGTTGACTTCCCATCCCCTGTCCTTTAGGCCATCCAAGGTGGTTTGTAGGGTAGTCTCTGATCTGCAAGAGACTCTGAGGTTAGCATGATATCATTAATATAGTGAAACACGGAGACTGAGGAAGGCAAAGAGAGTCTAGATAGGTACTGTGCAACTATACTGTGACAGATGGTGCAGTTGTGCAGATATCCTTTTGGCAGTACCTGGAAAGTCATTGGCCCTCCCAAGTGAAGGCAAAGTGGTCTTGTAAATCTTCTGCTAAAGGAATAGTGGAAAAGGTCAGTCACAGCATGGACACTTCCCAGCTTAAGGACTACTTGCTCTAGCAGTTGAGCAATATTGGGTACAGCAGCAGAAATGAGCGCCAACATCTTGTTTAGCTCATGGTAGTCTACCATCATTCTCCAGGTGTCATTTGGCTTTTTCACAGGCCACACAGGGCTGTTTTAGGGGTTCTGGCCTATTTATACCTTATGTAACTTCTGGATTGTTTGGGTGATCTCAGAATACCACGCTGATAGGCAGTATTATTTCTTGTTCATTGCCTGCCTGGGCTAGGGCAAGTGTACAGGCACCTATGTGGCCTATCCCCTTTTTGTTCCTTGATTTCTTTTAAAACTCAGTCTTTGTTTTTATTCAGTTCGTAGAGGTCCACCAATGCTACCCCCACATAATATATTTTATTTCCCATTAATGGGCACCAAAGTGCAACCAGGCCAGGCGCAGTGGCTCATGCCTATAATCCCAGCACTTTGTTGGGGGCCAAGGCAGGTGGATCAGAAGGCCAGAAGATTGAGACCATCCTGGACAACATGGTAAAACCCCAGCTCTATTAAAATACAAAAAATTAGCCAGGCATGGTGGCACATGCCTGTAGTCCCAGCTACTCGGGAGGCTGAGGCAGGAGAATCACTTGAACCCAGGAGGCAAAGGTGCAGTGAGCCAAGATTGAGCCACTACACTCCAGCCTCGCAACAGAGTGAGACTCTGTTTCAAAAAAAAAAAGGTCAACCAATGCCCTATTATAACTGGGAGTCACTCAGACATTCAATAAGTACTTAAAATAATTTTAAGATTTAAAATTACATGAGAGTTCACCTATAAGGATTTATCTCATTCACATTTATCTAATTCATTCATTTTTAGCAGTTTATCTAGATTACTCGTGAGAACTGAGATATTAGACAAAGCTAATCACTATTCTAACTTATTTTCCTGATGATCATTTTTTTTTTTTAGATGGAATCTCACTCTGTTGCCCAGACTGGAGCACAATGGTGCAACCTCAAGCTCACTGCAACCTCTGCCTCCCGGGTTCTAGCAATTCTCCTGCCTTCACCTCCTGAGTAGTTGGGATTTTAGGCACCCGTCATCACGTCCAGCTAATTTTTTAATGTATTTTTGTAGAGACAGGGTTTCACCCTGTTGGCCAGGCTGGTCTCAAACTCCTAACCTCAGGTGATCTGCCTGCCTCAATTCCCAAAGTGCTGGGATTACAGGCTTCAGCCACCACACCTGGCCCCTGTTAACCATTTTTATAGTCTATAAACATAAGATGTTCACATAAGTAAAAACCTTTAAGTTAAACACATGGGCATTTTGCCGATAATTCAGATTTTGTTACTTTCATTGAACCAACAATATTAAATTAGTCTTATTTGTCAAAAAAAATCCACATAAACAAAGATCATTCTGGTTTTGGCTGGGTTTACAGTCTTATAACTTTCATGTCAAACTCTGATGTCTTAAAGTATGTAGCAGAGTCAAATATAAAACTCACCCAATCAGTAAACCCAGACAAAAATGTATGCTGACAATTCTGAAGACATTTCTATTTTACTTTACCATAATTTTAAAGCCAGCTTATTTATTAAAGATTACTAAATTTATATTAACTTAAAAAGTATTTGACCTTAATTGATGTATGAGTACTCATTTACTTATAAGCCAAGTAGGTAGCATGTCAGACATAACATATAATACATATAAACATACTTAAACATATATACTCTCTCACACACACACATATGCACACACACCCCCAATACCTTTTACTTCAGAACTCTAGACATGAGAGAGTATCATAAACTCATCAGTCTATAAAAGATAACTGAATCCAAATGCTGACCGAATCCAAATTATGATAACTGAATCAAAATTGTGACGCCTTCACATGGCTAAACTTTATTTGCCCTAATAGGTAATCCAATGAAGTCTGTGAACCAAAATTTTAGGTAAAGCAGTTTTCATAACAGTTTCATTTTTTTAAATCATAGTCAATTTTATTCTAGTTCTTCAAAATTTATATTCAATATGTTGTTTCCAAAATGTAAGTCACCCTTTATATGATAGTTTTATTATTTCATCTTTCTTTTACAGTTTTTTTCATCTTTTCCTTATGGTTCTTCAGTAGAATCCAGAATCTTGAGTTGCCCAGTTAGGAGCCTTGGACCTGCTATTCTGATTAAGTTTCTTCTCAATATTCACGGCCAGCATTTAGCTTCTAAAAGAAAAGCTTTTGGCCTTTTCAAAAGCTTGCTGATAAGGTGAGACTGCACTGCTACCCACAACCGCATGACCTAATTTAGAATCAATCTTGGCACCCAGTCTTGCATTTCTAATCAAATTTACAATCCACCTTTCAGCTTCTTTTGGAGTCATGTTCAATTTATCTGCCAACATGTTAATGCTGATACAGTGGTGGATGTCACAGAAAGTCTCAAATATGAAGATGGGCATTTTCAATGAAATCCTCAAGACAAGCCACCAAGAAGTCATTCGCAAGCACTGACTCAAATTCCCTCAGCTTTGTCTGAGCCCCATCAGTCAAAGTTAACATATAAGCATTCAACACATTCTGTAATTGGGTCTTTAAATGTGTAAGACACCTGTTGAATAAATTTAACTAGATCTTTTAGTACCTGCCGACGTTTTCAAACATTCTTGTTTGTTATGACCACTGTAGTCAAATAGCGAAGAACATGTGGACACATTGTCTGAACTGTATTAAGATACTGTAGCTAGTAAAGGAAGAGATCAATAATATTATCACGACCTTTGGGGTGACTGAAGAAAACAAACAGAGACCAGTGAACGAGCCATGTTCTCTGCTGAAGAGACTGGAGTGGAGAACTCATAGAATTATTATCTATGGTCTCTTTTCAAATGTAAGGTCTTCCATGGCTGCATCCCAATTCTGCATTAAGTTTCAGAGGCCAGCTTTCCCCAGAGTGAACTTAAAGCATTTCTATCTGTTGCTGGAACCAACACGCTAAGAAAATTAAGATATTCTGCTACTTCTGAGTAATTTCTACACTCATACTGGAATTTTGCATATCTGTAGAGCGTATCTAAATATTCCTGCCTAAAACCATGTTGCCTACCAGGTAGTCAAAGAGCATCCTACCATCCCTGGTTGACTGCATTTGCCTTGTAGTTTATGGATTTTCAAACATCTTCACAATTGGTTCTGTTTCTGCCTGAAGCTGTTTCAGTTGCGCAACAACTGTGGTTCTTTTCTCTCTCAAAGCCTGAGGAATATCAGCAGAATAAAGGTTTTTGTATACATCCATAGCAAGGTCTACCATGTTGGTATCACTAAGAAGGTCCAATAACCTTATAAGAATTCCTTTTCATTATATATCTCCTTTACAGAGAGGCTAGATGTCAGCAAGGAGCAGAAAGACTAGATGCCAATCCAAAAAGTGAGCGATGTGAGTAGTCAAGTTGTATACCGCTACCTTGCCAAAGAAAAGCAGCAGTTTGATTTTTTAAAACCCTCGCTTACCCCCTTTTTTCTTCAGTTTTGTATGAGTTTCTAACATGTACAATTTAGCTAGAATTGTCTGAACTGTGTAAGAAAAACGAAATCCCCATGGAGCCTTGAATTAGCAGTACCATACTCAGTGAGTTTTATTTCAACACCAGTAGTTTCATAACAGCAGATTCAAAGCAGGCAGAAAAGAAAAGAGAGAAATAGAGAGCTTCAGAAGATCTGCTTAACTATAGCTGAAGGTGAAGCATTTGAGCTCTGAATATTTCTTGCTGTAATTTGCCCATCAGTTTATAAAGGTGCACAAGGATGAGTCATAATTTGTAACCAGCTGGAGTCCTAGAAAACCTGGCAGGCCTTTGAACTTTCCTGTTTTTGGACACATAAGCTGCAGTAGTTCCTACCCTTTCTCCCTTTTGTCTACTTTCTCCACCAAATCCCCAACCAGGGCCGACATGGATATTTGAATGTCTCTTTCTAATTGCAGCTCCTCCCTTAACTTTTGTATCTATTTTTCCGTCTTTAACCATTTCTCAGCAGCGAGCCTTACCACAGCAACAGCACATTTGCTCTCCTTATTGTACTTCAACATCTTAGGTCCTTGCACTACATGCCTTTTCCCCACTGGAAAAGGCCTGTACTCATGCAGCAGCCCACAAAGGTTGAGCAGTTGGCAACTTCACCCTACATGGATGCTGTCGACCACCCTGGGATTCCCACTGCAGACACCCCTTCCTGAATCTTCCTTTGGTCTTCTAGATTCCTGTGATGCCAACTATTACACAAAAACCCAGGACTGTATAGAAAAAATGATCTCCAAAACTGGGAGGGAGTCAAGAGAACAAAAAATGATTCAGGCAAGTTCAGATTGGCTAGTGAATAAGTTTATTAGGACTTACATACAGGGCATTTCCGGACAGTAGCAGGAGAGCTCTAGAGATCTGTGCCACTTTCCATCTCTAAACTGCATTTAAGTTAATTTTCTGGCTCTTTGCCTTCAGTGTTTGAGCAACGAGACCGATCATGGCCTTGGCTCACAGCCTGGCCATCCAAGTTCAAGCAGTGGACATACACCATTCAGTAATCTGGTGAGGGATCTGTCAAATTACAGTTGGCTTCCTTTCATTTATTTTCTTTCTTTCTTTTTTTTTTTTTTGAGAATGGGTCTCACTCTGTCACTTAGGCTGGATTGCAGTGGTACAATCATAGCTCATTGCAGTATTCATCTCCGGGCTCATGAAATCCTCCTGCTTCACCCTTCTGAGTAGCTGCACCTATAGCCTCATGCTACTATGCCTGTCTAATTTTTTTCCCCCAACTTTTAGTAGAGATGAGGTCTCACTATGTTGCCCAGGCTGGTCTCAAACTCCTAAGCTCAAGCAATCCTCCCACCTCAGCCTCCCAAAGTGCTGAAATTACAGGTGTGAGCCACCACCGCCCATCCAGCTTATTTTCTAATGTTAGCTCCTCTTATGTTTTCAAAATGACATTGGGCATTCCAGTTACATCAGAAGCAGACACTCATGCCTAGAGACAGAAAAAGTCATGTCTGTGTCTTATATACCCTGTTAATGGCAAGGAAAACCTTCATAGAAGGACTCCAGCAGACTTTTCCTCCTTTCTCACTGTCCAGAATTGTCTAAGCCTAAACCATTCCTTTAACAAGAAAAATCAGGCTAGACCAATCAAGATTTAACAAGAAAAATGAGGCTAGACCAATCAAGTGACTCAGTCTCCCCTGATGGACACAGCCACTTGGAAAAGGTCAACAAAATTGTGGTTCTGATAGAAAGGACAAAGAAGACAGTGTAGTTATTGGGCCCAAGGGCCAACGTGATGATCATGGCTTCCTGACTCATACCTTATCTGGTGGGTTCACCCAACCTTAGTCCCAGAGGATCCAAGTCCTTAGTGGTCTCATCCTCACTGGGTTGCTTCAGTTCCCCACTGTCCAGTAATATTAGAGTTGTGAATACTAGGAGACAACTTAGTGAATACTTGAGATTCAAGACATAGTCTTGCTTGGTGGCTTTGTGGAGCAATAACCAATTTCCTCATGGTAGTTAGAATCAATCACCCCAACTAGTACAATGACCCCCTTTCTAACTGTTGATTTAGTGATCTGAAGACTCCAAAATAGCCAGATCATAGTTCCAGCTTCCCAATAAATACAATTGTGACCATGTCATCTGGGGAAAGTATCAATCCCTTGGGCACTAGGGCCTCCAAACCCACCAAGTCCAATGCTGTAGGGACAATATGATAAAGACAAGGTTGTAGAGAAAAAAACTCTTCAAGAGAGTTATTAGGATTAACAGGGGCCAGGCGCGGTGGCTCACGCCTGTAATCCCAGCACTTTGGGAGGCCAAGGCGGGTGGATCACGAGGTCAAGAGATCGAGACCATCCTGGTCAACATGGTGAAACCCCATCTCTACTAAAAATACAAAAAATTAGCTGGGCATGGTGGCACGTGCCTGTAATCCCAGCTACTCAGGAGGCTGAGGCAGGAAAATTGCCTGAACCCAGGAGGTGGAGGTTGTGGTGAGCCGAGATCGTGCCATTGCACTTCAGCCTGGGTAACAAGAGAGAAACTCCATCTCAAAAAAAAAAAGGAATAATAGAAGAGCCACTCCTACCTCTGCTCCTTGGTTCACAGGCCCACGCATTCTGAATATTGAGTAGATGGCAACATATAATGGTGACTGGGTTAAGTCCTACACCACATCCTTACAGGAGTTTTCTCTCAGCCAGTACCACAATTGATCCTTCTGCATACTTTCCTCCATCCTATCAAACAAGCTGTTCCTGATGGGTAAGATCAGTTAATTCTATGGGCATGACTCTGCTGCCACACTTCCCTCATAAGAAAATTACTTTCTTGCTCAAAGATATTTGTAATATATGGTGATAAAATAAGGCATTCTCTAAGCCCATGAATTATGGCACTAATAGCTTTCTAAGCAGGGAAGGTAAACCTGTACCTGGAATATGCATCTATTCCCATGATGACAGATCACTCTTCTCTCTATAATGAAAGGAATCTAGTGTAATTAAACTGCCACCAGATGGTTGACTAATCTGTCAAGGGAACAGTATCATACTGGGGTCCCCGCAATGGCCTCTGCTATAAGCAGATTAATCACTCCATAGTGGCAGTAACTGAATTATCCTTGGCAAGCAGAAGCCCACGTTGTTGAATCTACTCTTAGCCTACATTTCTATTGTCACGTAGGCCCACTGAGCAAGCACTAGAGTGACTGGGTAAAGAGGCTGATTGACATCTGCAGGACAGATCTTGTATAACTATCAGGATGGATGCCCTCTGCTGGGCAGTATAGTAGTTCACAGAGATTTTCACATTCTGGGCAATTTTAAGAATCCATCTGTACTTCTCCCGTTGACTTCCTTATCTCGAATCCTCTTCCTTCCAAGTAATTGACCAACCTATTCACTACTGTGCATAAATCAGTACAGATCCATACCTCAGGTCAATTCATTTTCCTAAAAAAGAAGACCACCAGATGTACTATTCAAAGTGATATCCACTGGGAGAATTTCTCCTCACTATCTTTCAGGGCCATTCCATTATGGTGTGGGCACATAATTCTGTGGCTGTCTGCTTCAAGTTGGTGCTAGCATATCATAACAAGGCCTAAACTTTTTCCTCCTCTGCTAAATGGCATAAGCCTACAGATAACGAGTTGAAAAATAACAGGTGGCAAAGAAGTAAGGGCAGGTTCAATGAACATTTGTTTCATGTGATTTACTTGTGTCTTCCAGACCATCTCAGGCCACATCAGTGTATACTCTTCTGTTTGACAATGGAATTCTGCTGCCCATGTTCAACATATGATCCAACAAATTAGGTTAACACCCAATTTCTTTTTCTTTTTCTTTTAAATTTTACTTTAAGTTCTGGGATACCTGTATAGAACGTGAAGGTTTGTTCCAGGTATACGTGTTCCATGATGGTTTGCTGCACCTATGAACCCGTCATCTAGGTTTTAAGCCCCACATGCATTAGGTATTTGTCCTGGTGCTCTCCTTCCCCTTCCCACCTCAACCCCTGACAGGCTCTGGTGTTGATGTTCCCCTCCCTGTGTCCATGTGTTCTCATTGTTCAACTCCCACTTACGAGTGAGAGCATGAAGGGTAACACCCCATTTCTAAAGAGCAGTTCATGTCACATAGTTACTTAGTATCCTATGGTCAGGTGTCTAGCCTCTACTAAGGCCTAGTAGCAAATCAAGAGTAGCCTTTCAAATGCACAATAGCTGTCAGCAGATAAGGGCATATTCTTATACCAAAATCCTAGGAGTCTGCATTGGGATTCTCCTACTGAGCTTGCAACAGACTCCATATACTATCCTATTTACCATTGGGTCTGCTGAATCTTAAAGCCTAAGTGTCAGGGCAGCTTGCATCATAGCCTGGACTTTCTGTGGAACTTTATATTGTTCTAAGTCATATGAACAAGGTGGCAGTCATACAGGTAACATGGGTCAAAGAGTGCAAATGCAGTATATTGTCTCAAAATACAAACACGCCAAACAAACACTGTGCATCTTTGAGGATAAGGTAGAGCACCAGAACTCAACTTTGTTGTTAGAAATTTCAGGTTTGTGTCAGTTTCCTGAAGTGGATTTATCTCTCACTCTCTGGCATTAAGGGTATTTTAAAAAGTATGTAGGGTGGTTGCTACTTCCTGCTCTCAAGGTCCAATTTGCATAATGTTATCAAGATAAAAGACTACCACGATATTCTATTGGATATCAAGGAAACAACGGTCCCTCTGGAATGACACTCTATTATAGAACAAAAGTCTTTAAATATCCCTGAGGTGATACAATGACAGTGAGGTTGCAATCATATGAAAGTAAACTGCTTCTGATTATTTTTGCTTATGGGAATTGGAAAGAAAGCTACGTTCTAGTTTTCAAGTCAATAGCTACCTTCTAGGTGTCAAGAGCTGTGCTGATTTGCTCTAGTAAAGATCCCACATGTGGAAACACAGTTATGATTGGCATCAATATTTGATTAAATTTTTAATAATCCAAAGACATTCTCCAAAACTAATTTGGCTATAACTTGAGCCAAGATGAGTTAAAAGGAAAAGACTTATAGCTTTCATATCTTTAATGGTGGCACTAATCTCTGTAATGTCACCAGTAATCAAGTTTGATTTTGGTATTCTACTTTGGCATGAAGAAGAGGTTAGCTAGGGAGGTTACACTTGTCCCTACCAATCATAATAGCTCCCTATAAACTTAATGTAGGAATTCTGCTACTCAATATATCTATACTCACATGTATTTTGGGACTGGAAAAATAACTCCAGAATGGAACTTCAGTCCCACTGCCCCCACTATGAAATGGACCAAAACCAAGACTACACTTGACTTTTTAAAATATCTACCTTAATCACTGGAATTTTGGTGGTGTTTTGAGGCTGCAGAGATTAGTATTTAGAGCTAAAATCAATTAACCTCCAGAAAGTACGAGAATCTCCCATTCCTTAGTTTACAATCACCCTGGTAAAAGGCTACAAGTACCTATGGAAATGGCCTTACAGAAAAGTCACCATTTATACCTAACTGCTTTATGGGACTCTTCCTTAAAGACATCTGGCCTCACCCTTAATTAAGGCATTCCAGGTTTGTGAACTGGGTTTATGTCTAGGATTCAGGTACTGTGTCTTGAATCTCTATTACAGTGATTTCAGTTAGGTTTCTACCTATCAGTCGCAGGATTTTTCCACCTACATATGTCAAATAGCACTTCAGTAGGCAGATGGTTTTATTTATCCCTAGAGACCCAGGGATCAATAGGATACTATTACCTATCCTTGCAGTCAAAACATCTCAACTTTCACTTCTTCCTGAAGGTTATTATAGTAACTGTGCCAAACATGTTTTTGACAGTTGAGCCACCTAGCATCTACCAGAATATAAAATCATGGGTCCCAGTTTCATTGTGGGCTCCCAATCATCATCATCTCTAATCTACCGAGGGCAGCCATAAAAGAATTTACCAAGGGTATCTCTTCTCCCTCATTCAATGTCTTAGTAAGAGTAAATTCTATGGGCCCTCTGGGCATGGTATGAATAGAGTATGACTAAGCAGAATGACTACAATAGAGCAAATCCAACATTCCCATCTCCCTAAACCTTGAGATTTTTTCTTCTACAGTATGCCAGGGAAATTCTGGGGTCTCAGCACTTAGATTGTAAGCTATTATTGAGGAATATTATTACTACAAGCTTCTAGTAACCCACTTAGAAAGACTTCTAGACACTCAAGTCAACACAGCAATTCTGAATCCAAGGTAAGTATTTACCAAGATTCTACAAATTCTTCAGTGTATAAGCTCTCCTCCAAGAGCACGCCATGTACTTACTCATCAGGGCTATACAGAAACTCTTTCTTCTAACTCATGTTTAAAGTTCTAAGCCTCATTCGTATCTGCTCAGATGCCCCCATCCCATGTCATAGGTCCTAGGCCTTCTCCACCAGGTCCTATGCTCTTACCTTAGCATAACATAACTAGGTGTCACATTTAATTAACATTGCAACTCCAAAGCCTTTATAGTCAGGCTCTGGACTTGATCCTCAGCCATATCTTCTCCTCGGCTATAAGAGATAATGAATTTCTTCAAAGCTGTCAAGGAAATTTTCTGATTTTCTATTCATGCCTTTTATTTGGAACTCAAGGCTATTTGTCTTTTTTTCCATGTACTCTCACAGAAGCAATCAGAAGAGCCAAATGATACAACAATTTTAGTAAACCTCACTGTCATAGCAGCTAATTGCTAGAGATTGATCTTTCAGTCTTGTGCCCTACACTTTCACTCCATTTCATGCCACTACTGATAGCAACTGTGATGCCACTTCATGCCATAGAATACCACTGTTTCATTTCCCTTGGCAAGTAGTTTATATAAGTTAATCATCAGATATGTCAGTAATACCATCCTAGAAAGCCATTTTTGAGAGTCTCTTTTCTGAGACTAATTCTAATCCCTATAACTTTATCAATCAGGTTTCTGGGGAGAAAAAGCACAGAGAAAGAAAATAATAAAAGAACCATTTACAAAAGTCAAAGCTGGCACAGTAGTGCACACCTGTAGTCCCAGCTACTTGGGAGGCTGAGGTAGATGGATTGCTTGAGGCTGTGGTACAGTATGATAGCATTTGTGAATGGCCACTATATTCTAGCCTGGGCGACAGAGCAAGACCCCATCTCTAATAAATAAATAAATGATTTAAAATGAGTACAGGGTTAAGGAAACCACCAATAGATAGGAAGGAATCCTCAGATTGAAAACATTGGAAAGCCATTATTATCCTTGCTTTGTCAAGACAAAGAAAAAGTGAGCTTATCAGAATCCTGCAAGAGCTATCTAGCTGTAGGATAGGATCCCAGCCAAGCATTGTTGCTTTTCCTGCTCCTAACACTAGTCTACAGGAGGTATGGGCAAACTTTGGGCACCCTTGTAGATATACCTATTATTGTGTGAGGAAACCAATAAGGAACAGCATAAGATTATTTGTAGTCTGCTATCTTTTCTTAGCTATTCAATTTGTAGACAAAATCAATTTGTGAGTTGAATACAGAAATCCTTCTACCAATTTTCACATAAAACCTAAAACCACCCCAAGAATAAAGGTTAAAAGAAACAGCTTTGTAACTGTATTAGTCCATTTTCATGCTGCTGATAAAGTCATACCCAAGACTGGGCAATTTACAAAATAAAGAGGTTTAATTGGACTTACAGTCGCACGTGGCTGGGGAAGCCTCACAATCATGGCAGAAGGCAAGAAGGAACATGTCACATCTTACATGGATGGCAGCAGGCAAAGGGAGGACTTGTATATGGGACACTCCCTCTCTTTTTGAGACAGAGTCTAACTTTGTCTCCAGGCAACAGGATGGAGTGCAGTAGCATGATCTTGGCTCACTGCAACCTCTGCCTCCTAGGTTCAAGCAATTCTTCTGCCTCAGCCTCCTAAGCAGCTGGGACTAGAAGCCCGTGCCACCATGCCCAGCTAATTTTTATATTTTAGTAAAGATGGGGTTTCACCATGTTGGCCAGGATGATCTTGATCTCTCGGCCTCATGATCCACCCACCTCAGTCTCCCAAAGTGCTGGGATTACAGGCATGAGCCACTGCACACAGCTGGGAACACCCCTTTTTAAAACCATCAGATCTCGTGAGACTTATTCACTATCATGAGAACAGCATGGGAAAGATTTGCCCCCATGACTCAATTACCTTCCCCTGGGTCCCTCCCATAACATGTGAAAATTTAAGATGAGATTTGGGAGGGGACACAGCCAAACCATATCATTTAGCCCCTGGTCCCTCCCAAATCTCATGTCCTCACATTTCAAAACCAATCATGCCTTCTCAACAGTCCCCCAAAGTGTTAACTCATTTCAGCGTTAACTAAAAAGTCCACAGTCCAATGTCTCATCTGAGACAAGTTCTTTCCACTTATAAGCCTGTAAAATCAAAAGCAGGTTAGTTATCTCCTAGATACAGTGAGGGCACAAGCTTTGGGATAAATACAGCCCTTCCAAATGTGAGGAATTAGCCAAAACAAAGGGGCTACAGCCCCATGCAAGTCTAAACTCCAGCAGGGTAGTTAAATCTTAAAGCTCCAAAATGATCTCCTTTGACTCCATGTCTCACATTCAGGTCACACTGACGCAAGAGGTTAGTCCCCATGGTCTTGGGCAGCTCCACCCCTTTGGCTATGCAGGGTACAGCCTCCCTCTGGGTGCTTTTATGGGCTGGTGTTGAATGTCTGCCACTTTTCCAGGTGCACAGTTCTAGCAGCCAGTGGATCTACCATTCTGGGGTCTGGAGGACAGTTTCCTTCTTCTCACAGCTCCACTAGGCAGTATTCGAGGAGGGACTCTGTGTGGGGGCTCACACCCCACATTTCCCTTCCACACTGCCCTAAAGAGGTCCTTCATGAGAGCCCTGCCCCTGCAGAAAACTTCTGCCTGGACATCCAGACATTTCCATATATCTTCTGAAATCTAGACAGAGGTCCCCAAACCTCAGTTCTCAACTTCTGTGTACTAGCAGGCTCAAAGCCACATGGAAGCTGACAAGGCTTGAGGCTTGCACCCTTTGAAGCTGTGGCCCTAGCTCTATGTTGGCCCCTTTCAGCCATAGCTGGAGCAGTTGGAATGCAGGGCACCAAGTCTCTAGGCTGCATACAGCACAGGGACCCTGGGTGAACGAAACCACTTTTTCCTTCTTGGCCTCCAGGCCTGTGATGAGGATCTGCTGTGAAGACCTCTGACATGCCCTGGAGGCATTTTCCCCATTTTTTGGGATAACATTCAGCTCTTCGTTACTTATGCAAATTTCTGCAGTATGCTTGAATTTTTCCTCAGAAAATGGGATTTTCTTTTCCATTGTATTATAAGGCTGTGAAGTTTCCAAACTTTTTTCTTCTTGAGACAGAGTCTTACATTGTTGCCCAGGCTGTAGTGCAGTGGTGCAATCTCAGCTCACTGCAATCTCTGCCTCCTGTGTTCAAGCAATTCTCCTGCCTCAGCCTCCCAAGTAGCTGGGACTACAGGCATGGACCGCTATGTCCAGTTAGTTTGTGTGTGTGTGTGTGTGTGTGTGTGTGTGTGTGTGTATTTTTAGTAGAGACGGGGCTTCACCATGTTGGCCCAGATGGTCTAGATCTCCTGACCTCGTGATCTGCCTGCCTCAGCCTCCCAAAGTGCTGGATTACAGGCATGAACCACCACATCCAGCCTGGTTTCCAAACTTTTATGCTCTCTTCTCTTATAAAACTGACTGCTTTTAACAGCACCCAAGTTACCTCTTGAATGCTTTGCTGCTTAGAAATTTCTTCCATGAGATACCCTAAATCATCTCTCTCAAGTTCAAAGTTCCACAAATCTCTAGGGCAGGGGCAAAATGCCAGTAGTGTCTTTGCTAAAACACAACAAGAGTCATCTTTGTCCCAGTTTCAACAAGTTCCTCACTTCCATCTGAGACCACCTAAGCCTGGACTTTATTGTCATATCACTATTAGCATTTTTGCCAAAGCCATTCAACAAGTCTCTAGGAAGTTCCAAATTTTCCCACATTTTCCTGTCTTCTGCTGAGCCCTCTAAACTGTTCCAACCTCTGCCTGTTACCCGGTTGCAAAGTCACTTCCACATTTTTGGGTGGTTTGTAAGAAATTCTCTGGTTAGTTACCGTGACATAAGTAACATATTATTATATAAACTTCAACCTTGAAATTATTTGCTTAATTGTTCAGGATGTAAAATTAAATTCATTCAGGATATATTTACTTTAAGTAAATTGAATTTGAATTTTTTTTACAAAGCAACCTACTTCACTGATCTTGTTAAACTTAACTCAACCAGTATTTTTTTTTTGAGACAGAGTCACACTCTGTTGCCCAAGGTGGAGTGCAACGGTGCAATCTCACTGCACACTCCACCTCCTTGGGTCAAGCAATTCTCCCGCCTCAGCCTCCCGAGTAGCTGGGATTACAGGCATGCGCCACCAAGCCTAGCTAAATTTTGTATTTTTAGTAGAGACAGGGTTTCACCATATTGGCCAGGTTGGTCTCGAACTCCTGATCTCGTGATCCACCCGCCTCAGCCTCCCAAAGTGCTGGGATTACAGGCATGAGCCACTACGTCCAGCTGACTCAACCAGTATTTTTAAAATCCTTAAGATTATTTTGGAGTTAGTATAAAACAAACGTTTTCCTCTTTGCATCAATTGTGGTACAAGTAAAATAATGAGTATAGCAGACACATTTTTGAACCACCATATAAAATCTCAACTTTTTCCATGCTATCTGCCTCTAGGTTGATGTTCAAAGCATATGGATCTGCCATTACTTGCAACATAAAATATCTGTACTCCAGGGTCTTGTTGAAACCTATGACCTCAAACATTTTATTGCCTACTTCATTTTAAATGCTGTATTTCAAGAATAACATGCTTAAAGGTTTGTCAGGATATTTATCCTTGTCTCAAACTGGGCATTCCGTTTCTACTTTATGAAGATGGCTCATTAAATAAAATTTTTTGAAGTATTCGCATGAGGAAAATATGTGCCTCTTTCTTGATCAGTTACTCTTCACTGTTTATTCAAAACACTGTAAAATCCTCTGCTTGGGCCAGGAGCATGGCTCACACCTGTAATCCTAGCACTTTGGGAGGCCAAGGTGGGGGCAGATCACCTGAGGTCAGGAGTTCGAGACCAGTCTGACCAACATGGAGAAACCCTGTCTCTACTAAAAATACAAAATTAGTCAGGCATAGTGGCACATGCCTCTAATCTCAGCTACTCAGGAGGCTGACGCAGGAGAATCACTTGAACATGTGAGGCAGAGGTTATGGTGAGCCAAGATCGGAGATCGGGCCATTGCACTCCAGCCTGGGCAACAAGAGCAAAACTCCATCTCAAAAAAAAAAAAAAAGAAAAGAAAAGAAAAAGAAAAAAATTAAGAAAAAAATTCTCTGCTTGGCCAATTTGTTGCGTTGTTCTGGTTTTGTATTTTCCTTCTCTTCAACTTCATACTGGTTTGCCCACTTATTTTTATCTTGTTTCATAGTGTTTTCTGTAGGTTGCCTGAAATTCTCTTGAGTAATCCAAGTATAAATATGTAAGAATAAATATATTTCAGACTAGATAAAGGATAAATACTTATAGGGCAAGAGGAAAAAAATCCCAAATGAATCTATGACAGTAAACAAGTACTAAGATACCAATAGAACATTTGAAGAGATTTTGAGTCATCGAAGCCAAAAGTATGTGCCCACCGAAACAAGTGCCAAGAATCTTTGAAAGAAGGAACTGTTCTTCAACAATTTTTTCAATGCAGCAAACACATAGGCTTTGTCCATGGAGCATGTAAGTCTGGGCTTACTTATCTTCCCCAAATAAGTGCCCTTTGTGTGTGGAGCACAAGAAAATACATATATCCCCTGTCCTGTTAAGGTGCGAATTTAATTTCTACATTATACAATTATCAACAATAAGGAGGATATTTCTCAAGAACAGAATTAAAAATGGAATGTTCAAAGCCACATGCCAACACCACCAACTTGCTTTTTCATTATGTTTCAGTCACTAAATGCAGTGGCTGAGTGTTATCTGGCATTTCTGTTCAAAATCTCTATGAGGCTCTGGAAATAACTTAGCCAGTATAACGTTAACACTGGCAACTTACTTTGTACCTTCAGAGAGCAAGACTGGAACTGAAACTGCAAAACAGCTTGTGAAATATCAGCCAAATTACTTCCCCGAACTCCTGTTCCATACGTGCTGTGCACTGTTAAGAATTTTAAAACCTCTTATATTCGATAACCCTCTTTACAAGCCTGTAAAACCCTTTATAAACACTTTCTTGGGTGTCAGATGCAAAACCTTATCCTCTTCAAGCTGCAGATAAGGATACTGAGATGTTGCCAAATATGCTGTGTTGTCCCAGAGCACATACTGAGGAAGTGGTAGAACCAGAACCAGTCTTTGACCCCTGACTTTGTTTTACTTTTGCGGAACTCCTGACCTCATTAAAGGTGCAATACCCGCGGTGAGACTCTGCTGGTATCCAACAGGGACAAAGGCCATTGAGCAGTTTTAGGAATTCAGGATTTCAGAAATGTCTCAGAAGAACTAAGTAGAAGACAGGTTGTGCAGGTGTGCAGTGCAGCCTCAAACTGGTACCACCGGGAATGGTTTGCAAAACAGGAAGGTGCAGTAGGGTGTGCCGAGACTTAGTTAACCTGGCAGTCCCCACCTCCTTCCTCGGCGCCCCGCTGCCAGGTTACTTCTGGCCCAGTGCCCTTAACGTACCTTTTCCGTGTTGAACTTGGAGGGCTGCGTTCCCATTGCCCTTCTTCCTCTACCCGTCACCCTCCAGGCCTACCTGACTAATGTGCGGACGGTTTAGCCAAGGCACGCCGGCCCACGAATGCCCAGGCGTGTCCCTTATTTCTGAGAGTGGGAGGGAGAGAGCCCAGGCCCTGCAAGGACGCGCCCGGCTAGGGGGGCGCGGTGGCGCGGTGGGAGGGTGTCGTGTCCTCAGCAGGCCTCAGGGCGGCACTCTGGTCCCGCGGCCAGAGCGCTCGGGCGGGCCGCTGGGCGCCGACCCATGCTGGCCGGGAACGTGTCTCCCGGTGACGCAGCCCCGGGTGGGGAACGTGGTGCGGCGGCGGCGGCGGCGGCAACCGTACGCGCCTCCGCCGCCTCCGAGAGGACGCGCGGTGCAGCGGCTGAGTGGCGGCGGCGGCGGCGTCGGGAAACCCGGAGCTGCCAGTCGGCGCGGGGGAGGGGGACGCGGGAGCGGTCTAGGAAGTAGGTCCCGGACTCAGCGCTCAACAAAGAACGGGGCCGCCCCCATCAGGTACGGAACCGGCCTTGGGCCCCGGCAGGGGAGGAGGCCCGGCCAGGCAGTTCGCGGGCGGCCGGGGTGGGGGAAGGGCCGCAGCCCGAACGAGGATACGGGGCGCCAGGGGCCCTTTCAGGCCCGTTTCTCTTCTACAGCCCCTGGCGGAACGAAGGGAAGGGGCTGGGCCGCGGGGGCGCGGGCCGCTCGGGGCCATATCCCACGACGCCGACCCGCCTTTGCTCGTGTTTAGTGCAGGCAGAGCTGCGGGCGGAGGCTCCATGTTGGGAAGCGGCGCCGTTCGTGCTTGTTAGCGGGAATCGGGGAGGCGCGGGCCGAGCCGGCGGGGGCCGGGCCCTAAGCGAAGATGGAGGCCCCGCTGCGGCCTGCCGCGGACATCCTGAGGCGGAACCCGCAACAGGACTACGAGCTTGTCCAGAGGGTCGGCAGCGGCACCTATGGGGACGTCTACAAGGTGAGTGGGGCTGGCCGGGCCCTTTTCCTGCTGTCGACTGGGTCCCGGGAATAGAAGCCACTTTCCGGCGAAGTACTGGGGCGAGGGGAGGATGCTTTTATTGTTGCCTCTTGGGGAGAAAGCGGCCGGAATCCCTTTTACTCGGTTCTGAGCACCCTGGACTCATAGCTTGTTCTAATCGCTACCAACAAGCAGAACTAACCACACGGTTGCAAACTGTTGTACTTTTTTGTGGTTTATAAGGCTTTTTAATAAGGCCTATTTATGGTATTGAAGGGAGTTTGAATCTGCTTATGGAATTACACCGAAGGATGCTCTAATGTTAGCATGGAAAAATGAAGTGGTAGACAGGAAAGAGTATTGACATTTAGATATTTGCATTTAAAAAAAAAACTTGTTTTAATGAATGAGCTTGACCTAAAAAAGCCATATGAAACCCTGTCTCTGACCTTTAACTGTAAGCAAACTAATATTGGTGACATGTATGCAAATATTATCCGATATAAAAAGATGCTTTTCCTGGTGGAAGTTTCATCGTTTGTTTTTGGTTCACGATAAAAATATGTTAGCATGCTGGGTTTTGTTTTACTTTAGCGGTTTCTTTCAGGGATTTATAACATCCCATAACCATGAGTGGATATGAGCTGCTGTCTTTGTATTGTGCTCTTTTGTATTATTTGGGACAAACGATGAGAGTGAGTTACTCCTAATTTAGAATTTTAAAAAACTTTGTAGAGAAGCAAACCGATTCCCCAAATCCACTGAGTTCTTGAATTCAGAGGAAAGAGATTGATATTGCCTTATGCTTTTTGTTCAGTGTTCCAGAAAGGGAGCATTAGTGCAACCCACAAGTATTAAGGCTAAGCTCCTCTGCTTTTTTGCCGCGGCGTTGTTTATTGGATTTTATCATGATATGTATCCCATTGTGCCAAACAACAGTTTTGCATATCCCTTAAGTGGTCTTGTTCCATTTGGGTAATTAACCAGTAAATTCCTCTGGGGTTATGTTGTTCTTTTGCATAGGTGGTTCCCCTCTTTCTATTTACTTGCGTTTAATTTCCTCTCTATTAATATTAGCATTTCAAGGTGGCGGTTTTATAGCTCTAGCACTGTTTGATTCTCCTGTGATAAACTAATGGAGAGGCTTTTTATTCCTTAAACAAGAGTTTGAGTCTTCTGTACCAGGCACTGTTAGAGGTACTGGGGTGTTGAATTGTGAGTAAGGTCCCAGCTCTTTAACTCAAAATGTTCAATGATTATAACAATCCTCTTCTTTATGTAAAATGAGAGGTAGTTAACTTAGTTGTTTATCCAGGGATTAGCCATTTTGTGGAATGCTCTTTAGAAAATTGAAATTCCTGTTTCCTTTCTCAATCTCGTTTTTTAGTCATCTTTGTCTATGATTCATTGTGTGTTAGACCAGTTCAATTTAGTTCATGTTAATTTACAATAGTATAAATTATACTTGGTGTATATATTCTCTTCTCCCTACTACAATAAAAGTTTGAGTGTTTTCCCTACAGAGATCTTAAGACCTCCACCCTTTTTCTTCATAGATCGTTAACTAAAGCGACTGTCTGGAGCAGGCTTTTATTCATGCCGGTGAAAACAAAGATTATATTTAAGGGGCAGCTAATATCTGCCTTTTACCCTGGTGCCTTCCTGTCCTAGCCTCTTTCTGCAGTTCCCAAACTGAGGATCAGAAACTGAATATTCATCACACTCTACCTTCACCCCTCAACACGTGGTCCTCTACCTTCATAGTGTTGCTTCCTCACACTTACATGTATATTCATTGCACACTAGGCCGCTTCTGATTCTAAACATCCTTAAGGCATTCATAGCTCCTTGTCTTTTGTTTACCTTTGTTCTAATTGCTTGGAATCACCTCTCACCCCTCCATTGCCACCAATTGCTGTAATACCTGTGCTTGAAAGCCTTACTCAGATGCTCCTGGGCAAGACCTAGCCCTTCACCCTTATTTCCCAGCCTCATCTACCACTCTCTTTAGTCATTATGCTTTAGTGACCCTGGCTTGCTTGCTGCTTCTTAAACATAATAACCATCTCCCTATCTTTGGGTCTTTGTCCTTGCTATTTCCTCTCTTCATAATGTCTCCCCTGCCCCCTACCATATGGCTTGCTTCCTTCCTTCTTTATTTTACACCCTCTCCATCTTTTTTCCTACTTTATATTTTGCTTTGTATTTACCACTAACATAATGTTTTACTTATTTTTTTCTTGTTTATTATCTATCTTGATTCACTAAAATACTCTATGATGGCAGGGATTTTAACCTATTCACTGCTCTGTCTCTGATTATGCCTGGCACAGAGTAAATACTTCCTAAAAATCTAATAAATGAATGAATGAATATCAGACTTTGTCACCTAGTTCTCTGATCATACGCTTTGACATCACAACACTAAGTTAGCATTTAATACTCTTAAGTATTACTGTAATGCCATTTGCTTGTTTGTTTGGAGACAGGGTCTCGTTCTGTCACCCAGGCTAGTGGGCAGTAGCGTGATCTTGGTTTATTGAAGCCTCAACCTCCTGGGCTGAAGTGATCCTTCCAGCTCAGTCTCGCAAGTAGTTGGCACTACAGGTGTGTGCCACCATGTCTGGCTAATTTTTTATATTTTTTTAGGGAAGAGGGGGTTCTTGCCATGTTGTCCAGGCTGGTCTTGAACTCCTGAGCTCAAATGATCTGGCTGCCTCAGGCTCCCAATCGGGTTACAGGCATGGGCCACTACATCTGGCCCTGTAATACCTTTTAATGATACTCTTCATGTGTATTTTTATTACAAATTTCAACTATTTGAGTTCTCTGGGGAAATAGTTCTGAAAAACGATTTTATAGTATATCCATTATCAGTCATCTAAGTAAGTCCTATAGAATTTTGTCAGTTTACTGTAAATTAATTTTGTTAATTTACTCCTTAGTATGCATAAAAACAGGTAACCTGAGTCTATAGTGCTGAGTTTTTTAAGCTCTGCGCAATTAGAGTAATTTTACTATTTATCACTGTGTTTCTGATAAGCTGAAAATCCTAGGAAGTTTTATAAGTATTTTCAATCTAGGATATAAACTAGTGAAATTACTACAGTAAAGAATAATGAAGGTAAATTAGCCACTGTTTTTCTCAAATAATATCCCCAAATTTGTTTGATCTTTTGTTTTTTGTTTTCTAAGATAGGGCCACACTCGTTACGCTAGAATACAGTGGCACGATCAGTTCACTGCAGCCTTGAACTCCTGGGTTTTAAGGGATTCTCCCGCTTCAGCCTCCTGAGTAGCTGGGATACAAGTGTGTGTCGCAACATGCCTGGCTAATTTTTTTTTTTTTTAATGTAAAGACAGGTTCTCCTTTTGTTGCCCAAGCTGGTCTCAAACTCTTGACCTCATGTGATCCTCCTGCTTCAGACTCCCGAAGGCCTGGGATTAATAGGTGTGAGCCACCAAACCTGGACTTACCCCAGCTTTTTTTTTTTTCACACCTGCGGTACCTTTTGAAGCAGGAGCCTTAAAAGGACTATAGCTTTGAGATTCTTCATAATCTATTTTTATGTTTATCAATACCATAGATCCTCTCTGAAGCTTCCATCTTTCCTGAGAATCCCCAAGAGGGAGAGCTCAGCCTTACATTGGCTGTTTGAAAGAAGAGGAGGAACATAAAGATTCTTCTAGATAAATGGGGTGAATCATTGAGGGCAAGAGTATGAAATGGTAGAGGGAAAAGAAACACAGAAGAGAAAAGGAATGTGGTGGATGGTGGATGAAGGATTAAATTTCAACTGAGCAGCTTTTATTTGTAATTACTTTAAAAATTTAGATCTGCCAATAGGAAGGGTAAATCTGGAGATTTAGATTCTTGACTACCGTCTGATCACAATGATCTAGAACAACTACAGCATCATGATAGAGTTCATAATCAGTAGTACAAGCCATTTGGGCAGTCCTTAACCAAATATTCGTATCAAAATT